GTGGTGCGTGGTCTGCACAAGACACTTTCTCGCTTTTTGAAGGGAAAGGTAGAACAAGAGAAAGAATTGTCACTGGACTTCACTTCAAAGGTGCACATCAAAGAAAACTCTGGCACTATCCCCACTTTTCCATCTTGTTCTGTTGGATCAAACGTGAGGAAGCTGCAGCAAAATTTCCTGCAAATGGCGCTAACTCAGTTGGAGAGAGGACGGGGCAGTCGGCGCTGCAGCGCACGGCATGTTCGCGCCCTCTCAGCGAAATTTTTTCATGCCTGTCTAGTCACTCGTCTCACCCCTCGCCCCCTCCCCTCATCCGACTGGCCACACTCCTCCTGGCTCACAGGTTCCTCGTTTCGTTTTGCTTCAAAAGAGTGCGAACATGATGCGCGCCACAGCGGTTTTCAAATACACGCTCTCTACTTAGGCCCTCTCTGATTCGGTAGCAGGTAGACGAGCAAGTAGCTCGTGTAGCAAAATCGCGGTGTGGAAGGTCATAATAGTCATGAGATGCCTTTTTGAGTGCAGACTAGAGCAGAAGATAGTTACCCTAATTTCCGGTAGATAAGCCTGCGCCGATTTCACGTAAAACCACCCCCGCTCGTGCAGTGTAACTTTGTACACCTTAGAAACCACCGCAAATTTGCCTATAGAGGTAAGTCGATGCCCTGATCACGAAAATGACTTTCATTTTCAGCGCTGGCGCCAGTTGGCGCCACCTTGTCACGACAACCGTTTTCACCAAATTTCGTGTAAACTTCCGTATAGCGCTTATTTGGTGTCCTGATTACGAATATGACATTCATTATAGGCGCTGGCGCTATTTGACGCCTATTTTCTGCTCGTCTGCGCTCTCCAGCCGAGACATGTGCACTAAACAACGTTAACGCCCGAAAAACGAATATCATATTCGGCACTATTGAGCTATTACAACCCCAGAGGGGGTGAGATGGATCAAAAAATTTTTTCGCTGAAACTTGCGCTAGGGGGGTTATCGAGGCTCCTGATCACGAATATGACCTTAGTTTTGGCTCAATTTCTCTAGGTGACGCTCGAAATAGATGTCATCTAGGCGCTCATCCAGTAAGGGGGGCATCAAGTGGCTGCCCTCACCCCCCCCCCCTGAACTGGCTTCACTCCCCCTGGCTCACGGGGTCCCGTACTTCGAGAAACCTGTGTGCCAGGGGGAGTGTAGGCAGTCTAGGGGGGTGGGGGTGAGGGCAGCCACTTGATGCCCCCCTTACTGGATGAGCGCCTAGATGACATCTATTTCGAGCGTCACCTAGAGAAATTGAGCCAAAACTAAGGTCATATTCGTGATCAGGAGCCTCGATAACCCCTATTCACAAGTTTACAGCGAATTTGGTGAAAACACCCTTGGCGCCAATTGGCGCCAAATGGCGCCAATTTGGCGCCAGCGCCAAAAACTAAGGTCATATTCGTGATCAGGAGCCTCGATAACCCCTATTCACAAGTTTACAGCGAATTTGGTGAAAACACCCTTGGCGCCAATTGGCGCCAGCGCCAAAAACTAAGGTCATATTCGTGATCAGGAACTTCGATAACCCCCCTAGCGCAAGTTTCAACGAAAAATTTTTTTTGATCCATCTCACCCCCTCTCCTTGGTTGTAATACTCAATAGTGCATCATATTCGTAATCAGGGTCCCAAATAACCCCTATACTGAAGTTTACAGCCGATTTTGGTGAAAACAAGGGTCGTGACAAGGTGGCGCCAGATGCCGCCACCGCTGAAAAACGAATGTCGTTTTCGTGATCAGCATATCGAATTACCCCTATGAGGCATGTTACGGTTGACTCTAGATGTACTCAAGTACACTGCACCAGTGGAGGTGTTTTTACGGTGATACTAGCGCGGGACAGGAAATTAGGGTAAGTTCACCGGAGTCAATAGCTGTTCGTTGTGTTCTTGTGTCTTATCGCTTTTCCAAAGTATTGCACCAAAGTGCCAGAAACAAGTCGCAAAACGTTGCTTATTCGGTTTCTCATACCTGTGACATTGCGGTGGCTTGGCATAACGATCGTCTTCGAAGGCACAAGCGAGGTTCTCGTTACCACTGCCTGCCATGCAGCCCTTTTCCAAAGCACACAGCACGTGCCTGGAATTAGTACGCAAACGTGAGCTTAAAGGTAGAGGTCGCGATCAGAAGTCCTCAAAGATTTTCAGAGGAACCTTCTCCGTGAGTGAGCTGTAAGGGTTCCAGAGCGCAGAAGTCGCGCCACTATCGTAATTAAAAAATGCACCACAAGGGCGCTAAGGCATGACGCGACCGCTGCATTCTTATCATTCGCGTCGTCACGTCACGTCCGCGTCAGCTTCTACGACATGCTCTTCCGCGTTTTCGCTCTCCAGCGTTGTGTCTCCCTGCCATACTACAGTCAATCTCATAAGAAAGCAGGCCCTTATACCAGTGCTTTTCAAGCGCTTTTGGCTTTTCCTCATTGATAGTCTCTTACACCTCTTATTTCATTTTCGAACGAAATACCGCACCAATTCGATTGCGACCCGTGCCTCTGAAGCAATAACCCCAGATGAGATCGTGTGGAACAAATCTAATCTGTGGGTCTGTGGAGTTCACAAGAGATGTACTGGTGCATGGCCAAGGCTCAAAAGTGCGCGACAATGGCACTAGGCCCTTACAAAGTGAGCTGATGGGAGCAAATGTGAGCTGGACGAGATGCACCCACTCGCGACTAGCACGCAACGTGGATTACGGTGTAGCGGACTTAACACGTTGACGACATCGCGCGTTTTGGTTTTTGCACCGCGTGGGACCAAGAGCGATTTTGCGAGCGCCGCCGCCGCACACCAAATCCATGGATTTTGAGCTGTAAATACGCAATACTTAGATGCGATGAAGTGTTTTCAATAATGTTCGATCTCTAACTTATTTGTATTTGCTTCTATTATTCCTTTTTATCAACATGTTTACGTTAATGAAAAGAAAACGAGGAATGAACTGAACAGACATATCCGTAAGGTCTGGAAAACGTCTGCCAAACTAAAGAATATTTGGCCTTTCTGTGAGCCATGTGGTTTTTAAGTATGCTAATGTATGACCTATAGAATGAGTACAAAGACCTTAGGAATAAGTCGCGCAAGCGCAAGAAAAAGGGATGACTTGGGTGGGACGCGTTACCGCGTCACAATGTCCCACGAGGTGCGCAAAGTGGGACGCGTTACCGCGTCACGCTGTCGTCAACGTGTTAAATAGCCGACATGTAGATATGTTATGTATGACAGCCGCATAGCATTGATGTGGTTCGAAAAAAGCTTGTTAGACATGCCTTTTCCTCGCCAGTACTATCAACCACTGTTAGACTGCGTTCATAGTTCGCGACTTGGATGATTGTGAAGATTGCATGCGTATCGATTGGAATCGCTGGATTAGTAGAGCAGGCGTCTTCAAGCGATATCAATACGTATCTGAAGTTGTCAGCGCACTGTCTTAAAGGACGAATTCACGCTGGAAAGCAACCCATTTCAAATTAACTTAGGGATGGTGAGTGGTACACGAAAGAAGGAAAAACCATGAGAAACGGCCCAGAACCCGAGAAATGGGACCCCTTCCTTGCCCGTTGATTTGAGCATTGATGCGACTCTCATCGCTGTGCCTACGCTCTCTCAGCTATCTAATCACTCGCCACGTATAGACCTGCGG